GAAGGGCAAGATTACAGATTACAGATAACATAATTTCAAACATATATAGGTTATAGGTAACAATTTATATAATAAAAATAATAAAATATTAATAATAATATAATAAACATTAAATAATAATAAGAAAATAAATAATTATAATATTTACTACTCCAGATAACGCGTCATATTTGGTTTTATAGCTGCGTTTCGACCATTGTCCATCAGCTACCACTGTAATCATCGGTACACCGTCAATATCAATATCTCCATATTGTATGGCAAGTTTGCGTTCTTCTTCTCCAGATTTTTTAATTTCGTCCCATGCTACTTCGTTTACAGCTTTGGCTGCGATTGATTGTATTTGTACATACCCACTACATGATAATGACGGTACATCAATAAATGCGGCAAACTCCGTGAGTTAAGTGTGCCCAAACCATAGTTTCATATTTTAAGTACATATTATCATTTTAATTATAATAAATAATAAAATTGTATTCTTTATTAAACTTTATAATACATATTTACCTATGGACTGACATGTGTTTACTACAGCTTTATTAATTAACATGTACTGATTTTGTTGAATATTTTCCAAGTATAATTTAGATTCAATACAACATACTTTACATTTAAAAACAAATATCGAATAAAAGCCATGTATCACTTCTGATTGAAATTCCATGTCAATAAATGAGCATCCAAATGGTCCTTTATGCCTTACTTGTATTTGTTTGATGAAAAATGCAATATCTACAATTCGTCGACCAACTAGAGGACTACAAATACCATAGTAAAAATTAACTTATTATATACCTACATATTATAATTTTAATATTATATTATTATTAAAATATTAGTTATTACCCTTTCAAATCAAGATTGGCATTATTATCATTGATTTCTGTACATAACGCATGTGTATGTGATGGAGTGAGTGAGTCACTAAAATTAATTAGGTAAATATGTATACATGTATTTATATATATATATACATATAATTATTTGATTAAACATTAAAATATTATAAACTTACTACCTCTATGACGAGCTACAATCGAGACTCAACACTAACAGCAGAGCAATGTTTTTCGTTTTAGACAAGGAGACTAAGTTCTTAAATTTAAATTTAAATTGGTAATAATATGATGGTTTTAATTTTTAAAATAAATCATATGTAATTTAGGGCACTTGCCTCGGTTTTTTTAATCGTCTTTGTGCAAGAGTCTTGGAAACCATATTTTTAGTTGATCGCTTACGCTTTAGCATATTTTTTTTATTGGCCATAATTAACAATGTATAATGACCGTATAATTATAAAAAATTCACAAAAATGTTTACAACTGATGTGATCACGTTGAATCATCCAGAAGGAATGGTTATTTTTCAGAGTTTACTTTATGATAATATTTGAGTATTACTCGTACAATAGGTAGTTATAGTAATAACTATAGGTACTTGACTATTTATTTTTAATTTTCATACACAGTTCTGGAAATACAGCTATTAGTAGGTAGTCTCATAATGTTACTTCCGCTGTCCGAAATTCGTAATCAATAATTAATAAGTACGATGTGTACATTTATAACTTTTTTTTTTTTTTGTGGGGGATAGTCATACTTATCATACTTATATCATGATAAATAATAATAGGTAAATGTTTCGATTAATTTGAATATTTATCTTATATGATTAGGTACTTGAATTTATTATTGCTGGATGATGCATACTTTAAAGTTAAAAATACCTACTGTCTGAAAATATTAGAATATCCGTAGTAATTATATTATAAAAATGATTGAACAATGAAAATAAACCAAAGAGTTACCCAGTCGGCCAGTGATGGAATGCCGTCTATGATTGCCGATTGCATAATTATAATAATTTTATTTTTCATTATTTCTATAATGTTAGTAATTCATATTAGGAACAATTTTGGTTAGGTTCGTAATCGGCGCATAATCTATTCTCATTTCTCAGAAGCTTCTGCAGTTGTCGCCGATAATCGACCGACGGGCGACGACCGACCGCTCGAGACAGTCATTATGGTTTAATTAACTTATTGGCGTAGTGGGGGAATTCGCGGCCGCCGTCACAACGGCAAGTAGGTAGCAGCACATGATGGTAATGAAAAATCAAATCTAACGACGTAAACATGCTGTCGAAAAACAAACGAAAAGCCATTAAAAAGTGGTTTTAGAGTAAATTACCTATAATAAATTTTATAGAGGACAATATTTCAGAGGGAACCTCATTTGGGTTTTGTATTAATCTAAATACACGGCTTAATATGAAAGACACAAAAAACTTTTTTTTTTACATTTTTTATACAATTGTAACTTCTTTAATACTTGATATTTTGAAAAACCCCGATGAGGTTCCCTCCTAAATATTGTTCTCTATAAATTTCATTATGAGTATTTTTATTCTAAAACCATTTTTTGATGTCATTTCGTTTGTTTTTCGTAGACGTGTTTTTATCAGTGAAAATAACCATTGTAGCGTCCTCTTAAGAAAAATAAAATACATGTTACTTTTAAATTTTTATTTTTATTTTTTAAATAAAAATTTAAAATTAATTAATTATTTATTTATTTATAATTATTTTTGTTTTTACTTATAGAAAATACAATATAGTTTCATTGAGTTAAAATTTCTTAGTGGCGCTAAAGACACAAGTTTAGTTTCAAAGAAATTTTAAAACGCACTGCCCGGGTTCAAAACGCATAATCCAAAGTCTTTTACTACAACAATACATTTTCAATTGTTTTATTAAGATTGGAAATATTATGACATTAGCTTATATAATAATAATAATAATAATACCTAATTATATAATATTCTTATAAACCCTTCCATAGACCCATAAACATAATATTCAAATAAAGAACGAAATATTGCTATGGACTGCATGCTTGACATAGCCAAAACTTATTCATAAGTATACCTATAGTATTAGAAGAAAATGTAGTAAAGAATAATTTGAAAGCATTAGGAGGAGGTGTGAAGGATTCAGACATCGGATAGAGAAAATTAGAGGCAAGGGTGTATGTCAGGATGGTTCTAGTGACCAAGTTTTACCGATGAAGAAGAAAAATTATATATTTGTTTTGCAACAACAAAGTACATACCTAGTTAATAATAAATAAAATAAAATAAACAACTTACAAACTCTTTCAATAAGCATATGCTTGAAACGGATAAATAACATTGATCCATTAAAAAAACAAAACTTATTTAATTTACAACTAAAAGTTTTTAGTTTGCCTAGTTTTTAAAACGTTATTATGGTATATTATTTAAAGGATAAACAATTTTTTTTAGAAATAATATGACCAAAATAAAATTAAAATATATTAAATTATAACATATTAAATCAAAGTAGTGAAATAAACAATATTGTTTGTATGATAATTTTAGATGTGCTGCAAGATATAAGTATTTCAGTAAATTGAAAATTTAGTTTCATACATTTTTAAAATTTATGTTTTTAAATATACAGGGTGGGACAGTGAATCGGGCAATTTTAAAATAACTAAAAAAAAACCAACAAATATGTTTTTAACAAATGTATTTAAATAACTTGAAAGTACATAAAATAGCATTAAAAAAGTGTTAATTTGTTGTTTAATTTTTATAAATTATATCCACAAGATGGCGTTCATTTCGAAGCAAGCATTCGTCAAGGCGTCTTTCAAAACTGGTCATGACGTTTCGCAGAATTTCCGGTGAAATTTGTGTCACCTCTTCTCGTATTTTTTGTTTAAGATCATCAAGTGTCCTTAGTGTTGTTTGGTATACTCTAACATACCCCCACAAAAAAAAAATCACAGGCCGTTAAATCAGGCGAACGTGAAGGCCATGGAATACTCCCATTTTGAGAAATTATATGGTTAGGAAACAAATCTTTCAGAATATTCATACTCACTCTAGCTGTATGACTCGTAGCTCCATCTTGCTGAAATAATCCAGTCACTCTATATTGAACAATTTGAGGAATAAAAAAATTTTGCAACATCTGTGAATATCGCTCTGAATTTACAGTGATTGCCTCTCCATGTTCATACGTATGCATATAACAATATATCAACGGCATTATGATTTTCTATTACATTTTCTAATGTTTCGTGCGTTGATTAACATGCCGATTAATTATGCGTATACAATCACTTATTTGAACGTGTTTCATTGTTACTGAATATTATTTATTTATTTTTTTGAAATTAAACCGCTGGCCGATATCGTTCCGCTGTTTTGGTTTCCACAACAAATCGATTGCGGAGAATCAACAATATTTTATTTAACGACTACGGCAGTCGATTTATAATAACGAAATCCCAGTTCTATTAAATTAAAAATATATTTTTTATCCTTTTACCTTAATTATCTTCGGAGTAATTATCAACTTAAATTTTTTTTTCCGTTTAGTAAAGCAGGAATAACACAAGATGTATAGCAAATTCGTGAAAACTAACGGTAAGCATTTTTGAAATTTTTTAAAAATATCTAATAAATGTCCGTGCACAATGTTGAAATGCAGACTTCAAAGTAGTAAACATCAAAGCGAAAACAATGTACAGCAAGGAAATGTTGATCCGACTGAAGGAACAGCCAATATGTTGGAAGGAACCCGCGTCTATTGAGAAACTCGTCGAGTTCCGTATACTCCGACCGATGGCGTACGGAAGAGCTCCAACAAGGGTAAGCAAACGGCTATATTATCCACTACCTGTTTATACATACCGGAGAAACAATATTTATTTAAAACGATTGCTTTAGGAATTTGTGCCACGTACGTTCGACTCGAGGTCAAGAGTGGAAACGGCAAGACGGAGAGTCGTTCATTATCAAATACCGAAAGGAGACGCGAGCGATCTTAAAACATGCAGTAACCCATGGACTCCATCGTGTCTGAAAGGCAAACGAGCACACTGTCAGACGTCCAACTATGATGAAGCACAAACAGAAGTAAAATAACCATTTAATAGAAATATTGACAACATAATTATCTCGAACATGCGTCCCAAGATGGATTAAAATATTTAAAATATTAAATATTCCCTTTTTGTTGCACAGTTCTATGCGAATAACTACGATTTTTTTTCTTTTTTTTTTTTTTTATATGTACTTTAAGGAGATCGAGAAAAAATTTCGATCTATTCTGAACAAAATCACTCCTGAAAACATGGTTCCATTGACGAATAGCATTTTATCGTTGTCAATTAATACTGATCATCGCCTGAAGAAAGTTATTGATATTTTATTTCAAAAGGTACTTTGAAAAAATCAACTAAACATGTTGTGCAATACGTATTTTTGTTTGGTTAATGTTTGATCTTGTGTCGATCGTTTTGAACGTACAATTAGTGACGGATATTATTCATACTTCTATCCATTATCGAACATTTCAGGCTATAAACGAGCCACATTTCACTCCTCAGTATGCGTATATCTGCATGGAAATGAACAACAAAGATATCAATGCAAAAGTGAAGACAACCACTTCATCATTCAAAACATTAATAATATTGTGCTGCGAAGATAGATTTAATTCCATGCACGTCCACGAACAGGAATTGACCAAAAGTCTTAAAGAAATAAAAGATTGCAAAGATCAAGTACCTGCATATTTACATGACATTAAAATATTTTATTTTATTATGAATTCATCGTTGTACATAATACATAATATCCGTATATTGAATATGATTAAATGTTACAGGACGACAAGGAAAAAATGCAATCGAAGTACGACCGAGACGAAAAGATTCACAGAGAGAGATCGGTGGGAAATTGCAGGTACCAACGTATTAAATAAGAATAGAACGAACGGTTTTGATATTAAACAATGTCCATCACTTTACAGATTCATGTGTGAACTTTATAAAGTAAAAATATTGTCGAACCAAACGTTAGAGATGTGTATAAAACACCTTTTAATGTCCCCGAAAGAAGAAACACTGGAATGCGCGTGTAACATACTAAAACAAATCGGGAAAACGTTAAACCATGTAAGATTGATGTATACTTTTTACTAAAAGTGTGCAATTAATGTTATCGGCCGAATGGGTTCGAAATTAAAATACAACGCAGTAGGTACTATTTGCATTATATGAGTATTTGTTGCAATAATTACAGAAAGTCACGTTTGAAGTACTAAACGAGTACATGTCGTTGGCGTACAAAACAAAGATACCAACGAGAATACGGTTTATGATATTAGACACGATAGAATTAAAGGACAACAATTGGATACCTCGGAAACATAGAACCGTACAGAAATCCTGTGACACGAAAACACCTGAAAACAACCATTCCGAAACTGTGAAATACACATCCATGCTATCAATGGTAAAGTGCATATATTACTCTTTACTTCAATACATTACACCTCTGCCCGTTGGATATATTAGAGGAGCTCTAAATTAGAATAGATTGAAACACATACTATACAAACGAATCGATGCTAATTATTTTTCGATTGATCACTCGTCTGTCTTTGGAACTAATAGCGTCGGACGCAGTGCCATTAAGAAGCTATTGTAATTAAATAAATGCTAAACACATAGTGTTACTCATTTTATACTATGGAATACATTTCAATATAAATTACGTAGTAATACATTTTCGTTGCCTTTATCAGGAATATTTTCAAAAGTCAACTATCCGATTCAAAGTAAACCATCAAAAAACATTTAAAAGATAATGATTTTTTTTTTTTTTTTTTTTCATTAATAAAAGCCATTATTCCAATAACAAATCTCAATAAGTTAATAATATACTCGTAGTATAGTTTTCAATCACTATACATAAAGTTAACGAAAACAATAAACAGTTTTTTAAATATTCGTGTATATACAATGAATATTAGTGTAAATATTAAAACCCATCGAATGAATAACATGGTATTCAACTTCTTATACTTTATTTTCTTTCAGAACTATGGGCCTCCTAAAAATGATGGACATATAGACACAAGTGATTCCAGTCGTCCTCTATTGTCAACGAGAACAAGCGATGTAGTAGCACATGAAGTCTCTCCGATGTCCTTATGTTTTAAAACAGAGACAAAAAACTACTAACGTCCAATCATCGAATAATAAGGACGCTACTATAGGAGTAAGTATTATATTCCATAAAAAAGTTGTTTCAGCATCATTATAACATCATTATAACAACGTTCGTGTTCGAAATAAACTACAATCTATTTTCTACGTTTAAATCTACATGTAACTAAACTTGTGTATTTTGCTCGACTGTAGGTTGAGAAAATATTTCTATCTATCCTCAACAAAATAACCACTGAGAATATTGCTCTATTGACGGAGAGTATTATTTCGCTACCAGTGAATACAGATGTTTGTCTAAAAAAAGTTGTGGAAATGTTGTTCCAAAAGGTATTTAGATAAAATAAATAAAAGGAAACATTATATTGTAATACACGTACAGTTACGTGTGTTTAATTTGTTGTTTTACGTTAAGATAACAATCATTTGATATTTTTGACCTCTCTAGGCCATAGACGAACCGATATTCTGCCCCCAATATGCACATATCTGTTTGTTAATGAAAAACATAGAAGTTGATTCGAAAGAGCAAGAATGTGGCACCACAACGTTTAGAAAAGTTTTGGTTAGAATGTGTCAAAACGCGTTCGAATCGATCATTGCCCAGAGTCGAATGATGATTAAACACAGCATTGAAGTAAGATCTTGCGAGGATCGAGTATGAACAAGACATTTAAACATGTTTTAACGATCCTATTCACGATAACTTAGTATACTGTCGGCGTATTAAACGATACGGTTGTTGTGTTACAGAAAAGGAAGAAACGAACCCAAGAAAAAATTGACCAAAACGATGTTGTTTATAGAAAACGTTCCATTGGTTACTGCAGGTGCCTTGATCGAACGAGACAGTTTTTTTACGGTTTTCAATAATTTTTTATCATAATATAATTTCCAGGTTCATGTGCGAACTATTGAAAGTTGAGATATTAATACCTCAAATACTAGATGTATGCGTGGCGAAACTAGTGAAAAGTCCAAAAGAAATACCACTCGAATGCTTGTGTATTATATTGAAACACGTTGGAAAGGAAATAGACCATGTAATAATAATTACCGATTCGTCGGACATTGCATATATCACGATACGTTTCTATTCAATAAAATTGCTGTATAATGAAAAAAACCTTCCAATTTCAGTACAGTGTGTTCGAAAAGCTTTACGAGTACTCGTCCGAGTGCAAGTCGAAATTGTCGGCAAGGATACGGTGTATGATCCTAGACACTATAGATCTGAAGAATAACAGCTGGGTGCAACGTCATCGCATCGAAGAGACAACATTATTACACGAAAAAAGAGAATAGACTTCCACCAAATCTTCGAACAAATGGCACTCGAGGTAATTTTCATCCATAGAATTTAAATTTTTACTAGATTGTTTTCGTCGTTTGCCAATAAAATGACCGTCGATCAAACAATAAATCGGTGCAAAATGAACATTGAGAGCAAAAAGGTAAGAAGCTGTTTTCATCGTTTTGAATTTCTTTAAAAAATGTGTGTATTCCAATAAGTTAATCATCCATTTTTCTAAACAAACGATACAAGTTCACGAGTTTGAAATTTCAACCAATTATGACATTCATTTTTTTAATTTTTCTTTTTCCCATCGTTATCCCGTACGTATATATCGTTTTTGCGGATAAATTTTCAATTCGTTGTTTACAATAAGGTTATATTCTTATTATAGACTCGGCAAATACGAAAGATGTTTATAACCCAACAATAAAACAATGAGCAGCTCATATTGCGATGGAGATAGAATATTTTCTCAACATTTAGTACTATTAGTAGTATTACGCGACAACGTACGGATTTCGAACTTCGGATCAACATTAATAAAAGAGAATTATAACTACAAAAAAAGGTTAGTAACATATAACAAATATTATTTTTGGCCATCAATAGATAAAAATAAGATATTATAATCTGTTCGTTGATTTTTTTCTTTTTAGGAACGAAGAATATTTTTTATTTTTGAAAACTGATCAAGCTTATTTATATTATACCCATAGTTCTATTGGGATTTATCTTGGGCGATATATTCTGTAACTAGTGATTATTTTAAAATTCTGTTTTTCTTTTTTTTTTTAAACACTATCTGCGCTAAAATCATTTATTCTGCGTTGGTTCATTATATGTAAATGTTAAAAAATATAAAAAAATGTTTGAATTTTATAATTTTTGTAAAATTTGAAGATTTTATGACGTTGAATATGATGTTGAAAATATTGATTTAACTTTCAGCTTAACTACATAATTTTATTAGTTTTCAGAAAAATAGAAGTATTTGATTTTATATTATATTTTTCTGATTTTTCTGCATAAAGTATTCTTATATAATTAAATGGTAATAAACTATTATATACATATAAAATGAAATAAGTGATCATAAAATAATGTAATATAAAATACTATTTTTCTATAAACTAATAAAATCATTGAAATAAAAAATTAATCTGAAAAAGTTAATCTTCACATTTTACATTAACATTTATTATATTTTTAACACAACATTTACATCTATCGAACCAATTCAGATTAAATGCATTTAACCCAGTAAGTCTATAAAAAAAAAAAAAATTACTTAATTTTTAATCTCTTTTACAGTATATGAGATATCGCCCATGGTAAATTTATGATAAAAAATATATAGAGCGACGCAAT